CATGATTGGTCTACCTTGGAGTTTGTAGATGGTTTCACCCTGTGCGATAACTTGCAAAACCGGTGGTATCCCCCCCAAAGTAGCTTAGCGCGATTGGCTGCTCCGCTGGGAGAAGCAGGCTCGAGTGCTCCACTGGCGCCCCGGCCTTTGTAGGTCAGGCATGGGCATGGGATGCATACAGCGTCGACCAAGTAAACATACCACACATGGGTTTTCTCTGCCACTTTGCATGTGATAAAAAAATCATTTCTTGGGTTTCATTTTCCCAGCAGCATGGGTTGATTTTTTTGGCGAAAAAACATGGGTGTGTGGCATCAAGATACTCAGATATCCCATGGATTGCCTCAAGTTCTTGAATTCTGGCGGATCAACATATGACGACCGGCTTTCCCGCACTGCTCTTCAGAAGTCTCAAAGGGGATCTATACTCTCCTTCTAGACGCCCAACCTCAAAAATTGTCCAGAGCCCACCCGGTTTGGTCACGGTCAAATTCCTGTGTTCCATCTAGTTGCAGCCTTTTCTGCAGCTGACACTTGAGGTGAGTCCAACGCTTTGCCACCAACCATTGTTGGGTCCCTTCAGTTTCTGTTTGTGCTTGCAGGCCTCCTGCTTTTGTGAAGCCCAACAGTTGGTTTGCGTGTATTCGTTGAATGTTCAACTTATTGTCCATGTGTCACTGTGTTTTTTGCAGCCTTGTAGGAGCGAAGGAACTATTGAATCATCATTTTCTTTTCAGAAAGATTACTAGGATATTCACGATGCTTAGGCGCAAGTTCACCTTGATGTGAAACAACCATGCTGAGATCCGCGCGAGAATGAGAGGTTACTTTCAAGAGCTGCACCAAAAGTGTGCGCTGGACTCGCCAACAGCACCGGGGTATACAGAGGCAAGCGCTGTCATCGGGGACTGCAGGGCCATGGCGGTCTGACCATTTGGACTATAAAGAGCTGAGCCCTTTTGAAAACTAGATATGTGCCTCGTTAGACCTTCCAGAGATTCGTTTTTTTATTTTCCCTCAATCCTTGCATTTTCTTCATTGTTTCCTTTTCTGTTCATCTTGTCTGTTCCGCTACCCTTCCTCAAAACGAAGAAGGTGAGAAAAGGCAGAAGGGTGTGCTACTGGGTGAGCTCATGTCACTTGTCCTTTCTTGTCCTCCATCCTTGCTTTCGTTTCTCTCTTTTCTTTCCAGTTTCCTTGCCTTGATGGGAGAGGACGACTGAAGCGTCTTTGCAATCCAAGTCGAATCAATAAAATTGTTGAAGTATAGGGATTGCAAGAACATTTGAGTATATTTGAGTTATTAAGATGTTCTGACATTTCCTTGCTGCTGTGCGAGTTCTGTCCATCCTTTGTTGAGCCTCCTTCATTGTGCTTGATTTGGTCATCGAAGGTAGTTGAGAGCACACTGGCGTGGAATGAACATGAACACAAGCTTCTTCGCAGTCTCTGTTTTGCAGTGATAGGACCCACCAAGATGCTCCCAACTTTAGAAAGTGAACGCATGAAGTTGATACATATTCAAAACCACTGGGGAACATACAACTCAAATCCTACATTTGGTAGTCAGTTAACAGAGAATTAGACAAGACGAATCGCAATGCATCACACTGAGAGTTATAGCCTCAAGAGGAACAAACAATAAAATGTTTGGCGGGTTGCTATGGGTTTCCTCAAAATAAAGATTCCTGAAAGATTCCTTGTCCATTCTACTCCTGGTCACACTGTGAGACAGACCAATCAGTCATGGCCTCATGTTGAAGAAGGCTCAAGAAATGTCAATCGTTGGGCGATCGTTGGGCCTTTGCGCCGGATTGTTTGGAGTATTGAATGTACAAGTATTTGGTAATTGAACTGCCCGAAGATTTTTCATTGTCAAATTCATTGCATTTTCTTTCTTTTCTGGTCCATTAATAGTGGGCCGGCAGGTTTGCATCGGCGGCATTGGCATTTTGTGTTTTAGATGTTGATCCAGGGCAAAAGACCTTGGCATCTCGTGGAAAGTCGGGATGGCTTTTTGGATCGTCCAGGGTCGCTTCGTGACGTGTAAAGTGTGTTGTGATTGTTTTGTGAAGCAAGACGACCGCGTGGGCCCTGCGCGGTCGCGTGGTCCAGGGCATGGAATTTGGACTCATCTCTTCAAGACAATCGGTTCAACTGAGCTGGACACCCAGCTAAGAAGTCTATTTATATGGTGCTTGCATTTCAGGTATCACGTCACTTTATCGTCAACAATCGCACATCGTTCTTCCTGTTTTGTTCGACAAACCCGGAGGCCTTGGATGTGCGAGTCCCCTTCGACCTGCGAAGAGAGCTGCGCCTCGTGAGGGACTCAGAGGGATACAGAATCCGGTGGAGAAGGCCTTCTCCAGGGGTCCGGACGTCCCAAGCCCTATATGTGTTGGTTTCGGGCCCGGATGATTTGGGTAGCTTGATGGTAGATTGATATAGTTTTGGAGATTTGGCTGGGGGAGTATGTTGTCCTAATTTGGACTGCAAGCAAGACACGATAAACATCCCTTGTGATGTTATCGCACTGTTCAGGGGAACCAACAAGATGTTCCAGTGAAAAGTATGTACTCTGAATGTGTTTTCTTCTTCCTAGAACCAGGGGTTTTGTCGATCAACCGATCACTGCCATGATCAGTACAGGGCCATATATGTAGGCTGATTGAGGACATTTGAGCACTCACCTTTTGTATCCTTTGTATATATTGTTCAACCTTTCAATCAGTATGGGCATGACCATGTGTTTAAATGTCCAACATCGTCTGCAGATGAAAAAGACACCACCCACCCCCCAGGGTGAGCAAACACCGCCCCTTCTTCCCCGTCCCGAACAGTCCGGGAACCCCTCGGGAAACCTGGAACCCCGCGATAACCGCCAGGTACGGTGGACGCAAGAGTTGCAGTCCCAGCGAGTGGCCGGCGAATTCGCCGGAGATCTTTGAGGCCGTTGGGAGGAGGTTAGACGCTGCTACGACGCGTATGCTACCGAGTAGAGGATTGAGACGGTGAGACTCTAAATTCTCGCGGAGTGTTTCTTTTATTTGGGGGGGTTGTAGGCCTCCAACGGTTCAACGAGCAAAAGGATCCTCTTTTTGGGGGTAACCCCTTAAGAGTGAGGGATTGTAGGAACTTAATGAACTTTGACTCGTCAGAGTAGAGCCTGAATCACTTTCTACCTGGCCAAGCAATCCACTATATGATGGTGAGATGTGAAAAACCTATATAGTCCTATAGTCTATAGTAAGTCTTTTTGAAAGGAGGCGCGTAAAATGGTAGGGTTGTTGATTTCTAGTATTCGTTTAGTAGCAGGCCCCCAGCAGAATTAAGCAAATCACCAAGACAGCGCTAGATTGGCGCTAGGTTCGCTGTTGGTTTTTTACTTATCGTATATAGGCGTTTTTGTAATCATCAATGATTCATTTTGTTTGGTTCATGAAATCCTGCACGGGGAATGCTGCAACTGACGTAGATTAGGCTGTTTGCTGACATGCTTTTGGGTAGTAGTATGCAAAGTACACTTTGCTGGGGAAAATACAGAAGTTACCTCTGTGATGTGTGTTGCTGTTACCTCAAACCGGAAAAGTCTCAGTTTTGTGCGCTTGATCCGCGCCAGCATTTGCGCTAGCACAGTTCTCAAATGTGATCAGATGTCCGTTTGTCCTGGAAGCAGATCTTCGCCATTACTACTTGGAAAGCTTGTGCCCATGTCTCGTTCCCTATCAAATGTTTCACAGCATGGCTAGCATCAGACAACAAAAGATCATCAAAGAGTTAAAAAGGCCCTCGCGCTAGCTACGCTTGCAACATTCTGCACCTCTGATTGAAATACTTCACATTTCCATACATCCCAGGTACCCTCTCTGAAATGTATTGAACAAGAAGCGGGCCCCCATTAGAATGACTTCTGCAGCCGCTTTCGGGAAAAGACATTTTGACAGCCAATCATATATAGATTTTGTTGCAAATAGTGAGTGAAGTGTTTGAGGGCATGAATCGCAGAGAGTTGGTTCCAAGTGTGCTGGATTTTATGTAATCCAGCCGGAGTATCTTGATAGGTTTGCATATCAATGCCATTCTGCGCCACGGCTCAATGTCTTGAATCCTTTCACCCAGATCCAGTTGTCAGCCTGCAACGGCTTCCACATGCTTGCAGATGGGTACCTTTCCTTGTTTGGGATGGTGTTGATGTTCAAAACAACATGTGGCGCAAAATATCAAAAAGGAGTATTTGCAACCTTTGCAAGGCAGCCTCCTTCGCACCAGCCTCCTTGCCCCTCGGAGAAACGGGGCGCACCGCGTCACCGCGTCAGCGATAGTAGCTCCAGTTCCAGCATGGTTCCTTGCCCATAACCTAGGGGTCTAAGTCGAAGTACCTCCAACCTACTAGCGCTGGCCTCCAACCTACAAGCGATGGGTTCCAACCCAGACGACTAGCGATGGCCTCCAACCTGTACTGGCGATGGCCTCCAACCTATACTAGCGATGGCCTCCAACCTATACTAGCGATGGCCTCCAACCTATACTAGCGATGGCCTCCAACCTATAGCGATGGCCTCCAACCTATACTATAGTGATGGCCTCCAACCTAGAAGCCATGGCCTCCAACCTAGAAGCAATGGTTTCCAACCAAATTTTGAGCTTTCATCGTTGATTTTCTCTGAACAAAGGAAGTCCACTGAGTCCGCTGAGGTCTTTGAGATTTGGTCCCAGGAGCTACTTGTCCAACAACGTCTCCAACTGCGTCTTCTCGTCACTCGAACGAAAGCGAGACGCGCGCCGAAGCGAAGCTCGGTTTCCGCAGTGTTGGATGATCCACCCTGGCAGTGGTAGTGGGCCGTGGTTGAGTGGTCCACTCTGGTCGTCAAGTTGTTTTGGATGTTGTGGTCCAGTGGGTGTTTTTTTTGGGATGACAATGTTCGATGACAGTGTTTTGTGTTCGATGACTATCACTTTTCAGATATGTGGTTCCACAGAAATGTGAGGTCCCACGGTTTTTTGTTGGTTGTTCCTTTTACATCCTTTTACCAGAGGCCGTGGATGGCATGATTTTTGATGAGACCTGCCACGGGCTTTGTCTCAAAAAAGGGAAAGTCCTCCAGCCCAATGAAGGCTTGGTCTATTTTCTTTCTTCTGAGGGGGATCCCTTGGGGGTCTCCCGATTTCACCATTCATCATTGATTTCAACTACCTCTGATCGAACACCGAGTACCCCCAAAAATGGTCCGTTCTGAAGGCAACAGGCGGCGATCCAAGGGTTCAGTCATGACTCATTGTACCTCCCAAAAAGGCCTATAGTGGTAGTGGTGGATTGTGACGCCAGGTGGACTACGCCCTGGAAGATTGACATGGAACCTGAAAAAACCATTGGGTTGTAAAGGAACATACTCTTCGGTCCATTCTCAGGTTCCATGTTAATCTTCCGGGGTGTAGTTCATGAGTCAAAACGGAAACTCCAGGGATGATGATCATAGATTGTCGTAGATCTCTTTTGCAGACGACTGGCGCAGCATACTGAGGCGATGGGACGTGCAACTGGCCAAGGCAGCGTGCTGGCTTCTGTTGGATATTGCACGGACATACCACGAGACAGGACAGGAAGATGTCCCAAATCCCAACTTTCCTGCCCCAAATTCAACTTCAACACGACGGGTCATGGCAGGTGAACCCAAACAATTGAAACAACATCTCCTGCAGGATCTCTTGGTCCGCATGAGGCTTTGCCCAAACTCTCCAATGAATCTCATTGAAAAAGGGGTATGACTGGGGCCCCATGTTCGGAAGTAAGAACTGGTCGACTCCAGGAACATCCCCAACTGGTCCCTTCTCAACCTACTAGCGATAGCCTCCAACCTACTAGCGATGGCCTCCAACTTCAACCTACTAGCGATGGCCTCCAACTCCCACCTGCTAGAGATGGCCTCCATCCTACTAGCGATCGCCTCCAACTTACTAGCGATAGCCTCCAACCTAGTAGTGATCCCTTCTCCTATCTCTTAATCCACAGGTCTTGCCAGATTCGTCTTTGGACACCTGGACGTGAGGGGCCCCGGATTGCTCTGCTGCCTCGGATGGCGAGAGACGTGGAGGTCTTCTCCGCTGCGCTCGGCTTAGCCGATGTCTCAAAATGATCTCAACCAGACGCTCTGTTCACAGCCCGACCGGTCTCAAAACCTAGGGATTGGTGAGAAACCCCAGACCCCTCCAGAGGGTTCGGGTCCGACCCCTACTATTAGGGTACAGTCGCTTTTGGCAAAATGGATTTCCACCGATCGTATCCGGATGATCGAAGCCTTAATAACAATATCCCCACCCCCTCAACCATGGACTTGAGGGGGGGTCTGAAAAATGTAACTTACAATTTCATACCCCCTCCCCCCCTCGAAAAATGTAACTTAACCCCCCCCCAGGCAGCCAAATTGAGGTGCATGAAGGGGGCGGGGGAGGGGTATGAACATGTAACATAATGTCTGCCAGGTGTACAGTTAAGTTACATTTTCAGAACCCCCACCACTAAAAGGGGGCGGGGGGTGGTCTGGAAATTGTAACTTGGACTATGCGAGGCTTAAGGTTACATTTTACTGGCCCCCCCTGTGCAGATGTGACCGTAACATACTGTAACCAAAAAAAAGAGGGGCGGGGTGGGGGGGTGGGTCTGGAAATTGTAACTTGGGAGGCTGACGGTTCCATTTTGCAGGCCCCCCCATTGTGCAGATTTTCTCTCCATGTTCTGGCAGACTTGGTAGACAAGCCGCGAGATGCTGCAGATGTTTCTATGATGGCTTGTTGATTGACCTACCACATAGTTGGTGCGTGATGTTTGCCTAGGTGAATCCATGTATGGTCCACTATGACCCAGGATATAAAGGACATACAGCCTCACACTCACACAACACCAAAACACAACAAACCCACCAAAGAAAGGTAGGCATAAATGTAACCAAGCCCAACTTCACACATCACATATCAGGTGAAATTGCACATATTCCAGGCCTGGACACACCTAAGTTACATGTTGTTCTGGGAGTCAGGTCCATGTATGTTCCACTATGACCCAGGATATAAAGGACAAACAGCCTCACACAAACAGCCTGGACACACCATAGTTGTTCACAATTGGTTTGTGCAGCATTCTGCAACCATGAGACATGTGATTTAATGCAAGTTATATTTTCCCTGGAACAGGCCTGACAAATGTAACTTACATTTACCCCTAGTTAGTTTGTATTGAAAAATGTAACTTAAAATAGTTTCATTTTCAGGGGGTTGCCTAACAAATGTAACTTACATTTTGTTAGGTCTATGTTAGGGGAAAATGTAAGTATTTTTTTCCAGGTCCCCTCAAAGAATGGGTAGGGATATAACAATGACTCAGAAACATTGTGACCGAAAACTGTGGAATCCACAAACTGAGCTTTTTTGCTTTAGCCAACCAATTAGGTAGCCAAACCTGTCCCGAGATGTCGCCTCTTACCCTTGAAGTCCGGCTTTGCATGGACTTTGCCATGCCCTCTTGGAACATCAGTGGGATGATACTACCAAGCTTGTGTGTGTGCGCCCTGGGAAGAACTCCCGTGTCGTTGGAGAAACTGATCATCAAGATTCGCACATAGATTCTATTGATGATGATCACGTGCAAGGGTGTCAGCAATTGCGAAGACACGGCTCAAAAGTGATCAATCAAATGAATGTCAGCGTCTAAGAATGGAGCCAACGGTCAAAGGAGGGACTTTCATGTATACATTACTGGCGATAACACTATTCCCGCGGCAGAAAGACCAGAAGGATCAGGGCGAAGGCGAGGCCACAAGCAGACTGTTCCCAGGTGAGCTTGACGTTCCGACTGTAAGATCAACGCAGCGGATGAGTGCCAATATAATCCCTATGGATCCACATACCTTCTCAGGTTCGGTATGTGGGCTCTACTGGCGCCTACATAAATATAGTCTCCTTCCTCACCGTACCGACCTGGTTCGGTGGCAGTGAATCCATAGGGAATATATACGGTGCGATGTTCGCGGGGGTGTTCTGTCTGGCACGGCATCGGTTCGCCCTGCGTCGTTCCGCAGAGCCGTGAGAGGTTTCTCTTACACGACGCGTCGTTCCGACAGACGTTCTGCACGCTGGCGCGCACGTTTCTCCCAGACAGGACTTGTTTGGCACTGCCATATTTGCCAATCAGGCAAGGGGTGTGTTTGGGTATTGATAGGGCAATCCTTCATCAATCTAGACTCACTTGACCTTTTTCGGAATCGCTACTCCTTTTGCTCCAGAGAAAGCTTCAAGCCGTCGAACGCACACAATGGCGTTTGTCGCACCAAAGGTCAAGCCCCTGGCCCAGCATTCACACGAAGCCAGGGTTGATGATGCAGGTCTTGATGTTGCGTAGGGGGATGTTAATTGTTGGTGCCCGCCTGGGCGCCTCGTGGAAGGTCCATCGTGGAGATGGAAATTGAACGGATCAACCTGCAGCAGCTGTATAGCAAACATCCATTCAGCAAAACTGGAAGTTCAACTGCAAGTTCTGAACTGGCAGCTCTGCAGAATAAAACAAAAATCAATCATAAAAATGATACATGGCTGGGGCTTCATTGAGAGAACCGTTTTCAGTCTGCCGTTTTCGATGCGAAGCTGCCTTCGCCTCACACCGGTCTTCCAGCAAATCACGATCCGAGGCACCTGCCGCAGTGTGACTTTGCAGGTTCGCGCGAGCTGCAAAGTTGCCAGGCGCCGGCGCCTCCCGCGCGCGCGCGCGCTTGGACCAGCGCAGGTTTTGGGAGACTATAGGAGTCTGAGGTTCAACGAAGGTGAGGGCAAAATCAAGTGGTTGTTTCTTGCAATGAGAGGATCTGACTAATTAGTACCGGATATGGGGAAATGTTCTTGGGTGATTGGCCTAAACAATCTTGGGTGAGGCGAAAATGAAAGCTGCCTCCAAAACAGCGTGCCGCCTTGGAAATCAACAGGGGGTCATGAATTTCTGTGATGGTTCAGAAGACGAGAACTTCCGACGTATTTGGAGATATTTGGAGGCCATGCTTCTACTCGTAGATGAAGCACACAGATCTCAGGCAGCATCCTTTTGGGTCCTTCCAGGCCGGGAATTCGCAGGGGCACATGTTCTGGAAGACGTCGCTTCCCAACCCCACCAGCTCAGAGGCCCCCGGGGTCAAAGGTTCTTTCTCCAGCGCTGGGCGCCCAGCTGGAGAAAGCGCACCGCTGAAGCACCGTTGAGGCGGATGACTTGGACTTCTTGCAATACTACCAGGTGCAGAAAGCAGCAAGACATGCAGCAGTCCTCGGAGCCCCCCCCCCCCAAGGCAGCGTGGTTTTTGGGAGGCCCCGGGGCCCCTACCTTGCAAGGCAGCATGGTGCCCACCCACTTGGGTGTTTTACACATAAGATTCATAAGATCAGTCCCAAAGTCTTGCTGAATCTTAGGTTCCAAGGGCCAGACATCCTTTAAAAAAAGACATGTTGAAGAAGTTCCATGGAGCGGGTGCTTTGAGTGACGCAAGTGACGCATTTGGCACCTGGGGAGGTCTAAGTGCCACGCTTGCTCGGTTCGTTCTGCAGTTGTCACACTTTGCCCAGCATGTGCAGATCGAGTACCCGCCCAAGGTTGGCAATTAGCAAGCCAGTGCTCAGGTACACAATTGGCCCTTCAAACATTCACCACTTTCGTGGGGGGACCCGAACTAGACTATCCCACTTCGGTACCCCAGGTGACGGACGGGTCCTAGTTCAGGTCACTTGACGAACCTCTCTTAGTCGTTGTTTTCGTGCCAAGAGCGCGCGCGCGCGTGACTTCAACTTCGCGTCACCCACAGCAGGTGCGCTTCGCCGAGCTTTGCACGGTTCGGGGCCTCGGGGTCGGAGATGAGCATGGCTTTCAAATGCTTTGAAGGTTCTTTTATACAGTACTTAAGACATGCATTCCTATTCTGCATGAACGCATATGAGTTTTTGTTTGTGTTCAATATATTTAGCATGAACTCCCCTTCTATCATCTTATAAGAACGTGTTTGTGACAACGATTACATGTGGTTGGATGGGACGAACTGAAGGACCAGGGTGATGGAACCGTTGCCAGTGTTGGGTAATTAAAGTATAATGTGGACTATACCAGCACCATCCAGTTCGGGTGGTTATTAGATGGAAAATAGATAGTCAGGGGGGGTCTATAAACCACCCGAACTGGGTGGTGCTGGTAGACGGTGATATTTCTAGTTGGCTGCCGTGCCTACGTCGTCCAGTCCCCTGGAGCGGGCTGCTGGCGAGGATTCGGGCCTCGATTCCCTCTACAACTGGACCGAGCCCATCTTGATCCGAGGGGTGCGCTGATGAGCCCGAGGGGGTGCGCGGAAAGGAGTGAAGACACATGGAAGACTCAAAGAGCATGCGGAATTTTAGGGGTTTCTTCATCAGAACCAAGTGGGCGCACATAGGTTTGTATCAAGAGAAACATAGAGCAACTATTTGAAGCTTCGAAGTTTGTGAGAAGACATGAGAAGACCAAACATGGTTTGCATGGATCCCAGTCTACCCCGTAGTACGCACAGTTCAGGAATCATTCACTTTGTGTACTGCTGTTTTGTTTTCAAGTTCACAGCCTGTTTTCGGACACCTGATCTCTCCCTTGATGTTCTTCATGTGCGACAAAAGGGTCCTTAGAAGGCTAGCCACCTGACGGTTGTAGGTGCTCCCACCTAGGTCACGGTTTTGAGGCAGGAATAGTTCGAAAGATTTGGAAACACACTCGTCTCTTTGCCGTGAGAAGCGTAAAACAGATGTTTCACCAAATGTATTTACCCATCTGGAAGAGAAGTGTTTCCCCCCGGCTTCAGCTTCCACCCACTTGCATCCAAAATCATGAACAGCAGAAACCATTGGTTTCCTCGGAAGCCTGAGGTCTTTGGAAGCCTTGCCCACATCCCCAAAGCGCCACGGAATTGCCTGAGCTTCCTTTCACGAAGCCAGCGCCTTCGTAGAAGAAACTCCCAACCCAGACGCGACCCTGGTCACCAATCCCCATGGTTTGGTTCGGGTCCGGTCGCTCGGTAACGGAGCGAAGCTGGGATGCTTTTCCTCGACGGAAACCCTACTTGCGACGGAAGTGGAAGGCATTAGCTGGAAGCCCCGTGAACTTGACCGTGACGGTGCTCAGCAGTAGCGCCTTGCTCCTTCGCCTCTTGGTCGAAGGGGTGACTGCAAAACGGCACCGTTTGGTTGTTTTTGTGAACGCAGATGGTATCTTTCTTTCTATCCGAAGGGTCATTCACTCACCTGGGCATTTTTTTGGGCTGTAACAGAAACAAGCAGATCTACACTTCCAACATAGCTTTTCCAGTAAACAAAAGGACGGTGAACAGAAGGCTCCCCTCATGCACCTCTGAAATCGATGCTTTTTGTCCGAGAATCTTGGTGGAATGCACTTGATCTTTGGTTGGCTTGGACCTATTTGAAATACGTTGTCGATGTCCTACTTGAAAACGGCCATGGCCGTCACGAATGATGGGAGGAACGGGTTTATACACGCCCAAGGGATCCAAGTTCCTTCTCAGAAGGTGATTGCAGAATATTGCAGACACTGTTATGTAGGTGCCATTGTCGGGTCCAGTCGTACCGAACCTGAGGTACCATGACATACCATGACCCATGTTCGGGGTAAGTGTAGATCGTAACTCTTCCCAGTCGCAGGAAGGGTTTGGGATCGGACCCAAGCGAATCGGTCTGGGCCTTACGATGGATGATAAGTGCAGGTTTATGAATTGTGGTTGATGTAGGTTGAGGGATTCGGGATTCATCCTGACTTAGGATACAACCTGGAACATCCTAGTTGGCCAGTCCAGTTTCAGGCCGATTGGGCCAGGGGTGGGTGGTTTTGGGGGGTCGAATACCACCGAACCTGAGGATATGGGGCAGGAGCCCGGATGGGGGTGCTCCAGATGTTGGGCCTCCATGCTTCATGTGGTTCGTTCCCCTCCACGTCTCTCCCAAGGCTGGGACGCCAGCAGTGCCGGGGATTGTTCCTTCGCAGCGTGGAAGGTGAGACTGCAGAGGTTGGTCCAGGAGGATTGTTTGGATTTGGACACAAAACATGTCGGCCTGACCAATGGCTCCTACTGTTTTTTTTGTTGTCTTTCAATTCTTAAAACTGATCACATGTATAGCTCGTGGAAGCTTCAAAACAAGATGGACAATATTGTTACTTTGGTATTCGATAGGATTGATCTTTGACCTACCTGCGAGCGAGACGCGCCATGCGCGCTGTGCAGCGCGCATGTCATTTTGATCGGATGTCGGATGCTTTGAGAAGAAGGAAACCAAAGCTCTACAGATAGCTTCAGCTTGCAAGTGCACCTCACCTCTCATGAACCAGCGGACATGTCTTGTGAACGATACAGTCTATACACGTCCAACCTGATCCAGGTGCAGTCTGCGGTCCTCTGGTCTTGAACATGTGAGCTTGTTGACCAACTCCAGTATTTCATCTTCGGTCAGTGCCTGACCTCTACTGCAGGGTACCATCTTCAGTCTTATCATCACGTCCGGTCGCTTGGCACAAGCGACCGCGCCAGGTGGAGTGGCAGAGTGGCGGAGCCTCTGAGACTTGGTCTCCAGCGGAGCTTTGTCAGGCCGAAGCCGACCGGCACGTGAACGTGAGGAAAGAGCTACTGTAACTGTATATATAAAGGAAGGCAAGAGTATAACAACGAAGAGGTATGCAGTTGTTTTGAAAGCACCAGGACTCCACAAAACCATACAAAACCCTCTTTTGATTTCATGGCCCCTCAACCCCACCCTCCCCGAAAAAGCCAAGTGGATCCTGGTCCAGGACCTCACGGAGCGAAATCAAACGGAGTGCCTCCTGGACACTTTGACCGCCATGGAGTCCTACCGGGCGCCGCGGATCGCAGATCGAGTGGCGGGGCGCGGAGGGCGTGGAGGTGTCCGTTTTGGGAAGGGAAGAAGGAGCTCGATTTGAAGGGGGGTGCCAAGCACAAGTGAAGAGCTCATTGCAGAGAACGCATCACACAATCAGTGTTTGATGTCTTGATGCTGAACGGGATGTCCTCGGCGTAGGCGAACATGTGTTGAGTGATCCTACAATCTCTTATAGTCCTACCCAAGGAAAAGTGGATAACATTTAGCTTTTGGGGGGGGAATTGGTTCCCCACCAAAACGAGAAGAGGCCGAAAAAGGTTCAACCTTTACTATCCAGGGAAACTGCGGGAGTTTGTATAGTAGTATAAATTGATTTAAAGTAACACTCCATGAAAACGCTGCGACTTCACACGCCTTCTGGCTTTGGGCTCCAGTTGTACAAACTTAGAAAGTCAATGGTTCCGTACCATCAGAGCCCATATTTGGGGGTTGTAATTACCGTAACATAATTTCTTACAGAGCAGGAGGATTTTGCTGGGTGTCCAATTCAACCACCAAGCTCCCATGGGTTCTGGCTCGTCCACCCCAGCTCAACGTCCTTGGCAAGGGGCTTGATCATCAAAAATGGTAGCGGTTGGGAAGGGACATGTTGGAGATTTGAAGCACTGGCACCATTGCTCTCACTGGCACCCCGTTCGATGTCTGTCAACAGAATGGGGGTCCATGCAAACCACATCAAATCACCAAGCTTGGGAGCCCGAGGGGGTGCCATTGGTCCTTTGATGCCCACTCACAGTGTTTTGGACCTCCACCCTGTTGAGGTCCTTCGTTAGGTCACCTTTTTGGAACCTTCAACACCTCTGAATCTCGAAAAACCAAAGGTCTTGACCTTGGATCTAACCAAAGTCACCTCTGGTTTGAGGTCGATCTTGAGCCTTGGATCTCGATCCAAGATCCTGGTGGTAAGATCTGGTCAGATCTCATGGTAGGACGTCCCGAAACGCGGAACTCGGTCTGTTCGATCCCGACCGGTGCTTCGGACGCTTCGTTCGTCGGGACGTGTCCAGCCGCTACCCAGGTGCAGATCACCGAGACCTGTACGGACGTGCGCACCAACTCCCTGCCGGCCACCAGCCCCGTCTTCCGCTTTCAAGAGGCTTGGAGAGCAGTGGAACATGAAGCCCCAAACCACTCCAACGGGGCAATCCAAGGTTAAGAAGAATTCGGGTTTTGTGTGTTTTGAGATTGGGATGGTTCACCTACCGATACAGACTGTTCGATTTGTAAACCACCAACCAGAATTGGTTTAAGATGTTTTAAGTGTTCTTTACATGCCGAGGAACTAGGAACCATTGTTTTACTGATGTCTAGATTCTAGATCACAAAACCAGGTCAATCATTCTTTCAATGGAACATGATAGAACTGATTGCTATAGGGTGTGTGGAATCGTCTGACCCCAGTTCAACCAACCACCCCTCTGACCACCCCTCGGTCGCGGACAGTGGCAGACAGTCCCAGATAGTCGTTGGGTCTTCAACTGGCGGACGGATGGAGAGGTGGGTCTGATCGTTTGGAGGTGTGTATGACTCATGATGAATCAATGTGAATGTGTATTAGAATCGGGAGACCCCCAAGTTGGACCTCTGGCAATCTCAAAAAACAGACGAAATCCATTGGTTGGGAGGTACCCCTATTGACCTGGGAACGTGCCAGTCGTAGCTCCTTTTCAATCTTCGGGTCATGATGTCACCATGTCCCATGGTACGACTGAAGTCGGGTCTAGGTGTAATATAGCAACATTGACCAACTTTGAATATCAATCTCTTGATTGATAAAGTCTGGTCCAGTTGACTTGGCTCATCAATAGCAAGTCTGGTAAAGATCTCTTGATCTACAATGAACGGAGGGTCCAGGGTCCAGAAAAAGGAGCAGAACTGAAAGACGAGTGTGGACTGCAATGGATGACAGTAGATAGATCCATTGTCATTTGGACCTTATTGATGATCTGAGATGGACTCTACAATTTGAATCATAGATGATCATAGATGGTCAAACATCCCCATCTTAGACGGGGTTTTGAAAACTTTAACCATCCATTTCATGACATGAGAGCCATCTTTGTTGGAACCGCAACGCTGATTTGACTTCTTGAAGAAGGCAGTGGCCGCCATGTTGTTGTCCAATCCCAAAGAGCTATCATGTTGGACTTCACACTTCTTTTGGCTTGCCAATTTTGGGTGTGAGAGTGCCGTCATGACGCCTTTTCTAACTGGGGTAGTGGTGGATCATGACTGCCAGGTGGGGTAAGATGAGTCGTTGAACAGCTCAGTGACAGTCATGATCACCAAATCAGCTGGCATCGAAATGCTTAGGTTGGTTTGCCGATGTTGGCAACTATCTCAATCCATTCGTTTAGACATCTTAGTGCACTCGATACCTCACTCACTGTCGATATATGCCATAGTATATGCCCATTGACCCATGAAACACCCCAACTGATCGGTAAATATGTGTCAGACATGGAGTGTTGGGGCATGGGGGTCATGGCACTTGTTTGCCAGATCAACAGCTGGGAGATCTACCTTGGTCCTACGATGAGCTTAGCCATCTCGGCGGGGGGCTGAGTGCTGGCAGTGATGACAGAAACCCAAACCCTCTCACCGGCCACTAGATGGAACCTATACGTGTGTTTTCGAACATGTAGCTGACATATGCTGACATAGTGGTGCCGTCGTACAGTTTTGGATCATGTGTCGTATCCCTGGCTAAGTTAAGCTAAAGACATCACTGTTTGTCAGACAGGTGTTTGTCAGACAGGTGTTTGTAAGCCCCAAAGCTCATGGCCCCATAGGCATCCGCAATTCGAACGGCCAATGAAATACCGTTCAGGATCAGTTTCAATTCCTCGGGAAATGTGTTATTTTCGACGTGTGGATGATTGGGGCATCATGGCCCATCCCCAATGAAGAACATGAAGAACCAGAAGTTTTCACTCGCCCAAAAGCATGCTTGGGCCATGATTTCGTTTGCCCCAAGGTTTTGGTTGCGAACTCGCAAGTGGCTTTATATTGGGGAAAAGCTTTGCATGCATATGGGGGGACTATAGAAGAAGGATTGGGTTCCAGACCCTCGCCCTGGAGTCTCACTCAGTCGCGACTGGTCGACTGGAGACACTGATAGGATAGGACGTCATTCCGTCTTCGCGCAGCATCCCCCAAAAAACGACCATCCGCAGGTCGTCTTCTCTCCACCAACTTGTTCGGATCGGAAGTCGTCTCTCCAAAGCGTGGGTTACACCAATGTGACACCCGTTTTGGGTCTGTTTTTCCTTGTTTCAAGTACCGGTCACCCGGTCACCCCGAACCATCAGCCCAGCACGACGAACAAACCCCACACTCCGGTCGACAGAGCCGCAGGTCTCGACGTTGGTGACCGACTTGGACCAATGCGAGGCTTCCGGGGCGCAAAGGCGAAGCTGGTGCCCAGACCCGGTGGGTGGCGAAGGCTTTTCGCTGGTGTTCTGTGTTCTTTCGCCCTTCGGCCCTGGCCATTGAGGGCCCTTCGTTCTGGTCGTCTTAGTGATTGAAGTTCGATTTGCGAGGGAAACTCAACAGTTCAACCACCTTTAAGTTCTGCGGTAAAGACGACCCGTGAACCAGACACGTTTGGGAGGCCGATGGGAGTGGTGGAGTGGGACAGGTCCGTACTTGAAGTCGGGTCGAGGTATTATATGCATGGAGTGTCTGGATGATGTTGTACATCGCGACTAGTAGCAAGGACGCTACAAGCTAGTAGCTTCTAGGAAAACTGCCTCCAACCTCTTGGCGCGATGGCCGATAAACCGTGCATAGCTTCTTGTTGCTTTACAAAGACACAGTTTATGTCGCATTGTGTGGGTGGTTCTTGGAGACTGTTTCAGATCCTGTAAACCTCAGCGCCAGACACGAGCGCCAGATGCCGAAGATCCGCTGTTGGGTCGATGCAAGGGCCGAAAGAGAGCATCCGCAGCATCCACCTTTGCATCAAAGGTCAGAATTGGTTTCGACCTACCTGCCTGGGAAAATGGGGATCACCTGCCAAAACCTTTAAACTTGTCAAAACTGACCTGTATTTGTTACCATAATACTAGTGTCATAAACAACTTGCGAAAGCTTTATGGAAAAGTTCTTGACTTCACTATATTTTCCAGGAGAACTGGGCTCAGTTTTCTTGAGTTCATGGCCCACCACCTGCAGGTCATTACCACCTGCTGCGACGACCAGTCACTGACCAGGGCAAAAGTGACCGGGGGCTGGTGGGGGACTATATGTGTACGGTGTAGTAAACAGTACCGTGGTCCCCAACTGGATAGTGGCATGGTTTCCAATACATTTGTAGTTGAAAAACATATATTGTTATCTCTATTTGGGGGTCTGTTTGTGTCGTATAGAAAGACCCAAAAAGAATGGCACTGGAGGGCCGCTGCAGAGCCGGACTCATCACAGTTTGGGCTCGATTGGACCTGCACCATTTTCAGGCGACTTGGCAGTGACTTTCACCCCCCATGCTGCGAGTTAGCCGCCGTTTTGGAAAGCGAGTTGGCCAGCTACTCCTCGAAGCCGTCGGGTCCATCGCTTCCGTCTTCGGTCCGGTTCCACGCTCGACCAGTCCTGCACACCGCGCGCGCCTTCCTCGGTGGGTCGCTCCGAGGTTCTCCATTTGCTACGCCCGCACGGCGGCGGTGCCGCTGCTGGCCACGATCTCGCGGACCGATGCGGTGGCAGGCGGTCAGATGGTTTTTGGGGGCGGAGGAGGTCTGGTGTGACAAAAGAGGGCAATTGGTTTTGAGAGGAGTGCAGAATCAAAAGAACTCGAGGTTTGGCTTGAAGAAGTTTGGGGAGAGCAGAAAGGGGATCACGACGTGGATCTTGGAGGCAGAAGAAGGTGATGTGGAGCAGTGTATTCTGATGTATTCAGTGGTTTGCATGTTTTTCCTTTTTGCCCAGTGTGATTAGATTAGATTTTTTCAATCCCTGGTCAGGTTGGGGTCAGCAACTTTGGCTCCGCTGCAGCAACTCAGGCGGGGTCCTTGAAGGCTTGAACGTTGGGCTCGGATGTTTACAGGTATACATTCAGTTGATGGACACGTTCTTTAGCACCCGTTCAGATGCGGCTCTCATCCAGGGCAAGAGCGGATCTCGCAGATCTCGCAGGAAGACTAGCTAGGCCACTATATATAGCTAGGCGTGTGTGATCACTTTGATGACCCAAGAGGCCTCTAGATGACACATCCTGTCCATGTGGTGCTTTCGTTGCTTTTGGCGACGGCGCTCGATTCGATGCAGTGGTTCGACCCCCGCCAAGGTGATCCACTGCCATCTGTGCCCGCAGCCGCGCCCTCCTGGGTCGAGCTGCGCGAGGTGTGCGGAGCACCCAAAAGCACGTGGAACGGGTGACCACGCAGGAAAGACGGGGAGGAAGCAAAGATTTGGAGGCAAAACGCATCAAAACGCTTAAGATGTGGAACATTAACGTGGGGCATTCATGGGCATTTATTGATACAGTCAGAGGTGAAATAGGGTGAAAGGTGTGTTGGATGTTGTTGAAAGACGGAGTTACTGCAGAAAGTATTTTGCTAAGGATGCCTCGGAGGAGATTTGGTGGGAGGTGTGAGGAATAGAGAGAGACAGAGAGAGTACAGAGATGGTGTGCTGCTTTTGAAGAACAAACGAGTTAAGGGGTGTCTATTAACCAACCCCTTGGGTCCTGGACCAACCTGCGCAACAAGCACCTTTTCAAAGCCTTGTGGACAAGCCTGGTAACATGAAGGTGTGTGTTCATGAATCATACCAAAAAGACGACCAAACCCTTGAGAAAGACGACCAGGAAAGCAGCGTTTTCACATCAAAGGCAGACCCAGTTTACAATAGAAGAGACTGGGCTTCTCATGTTTTTGAACTCTGCATATAACTGTTGTGAGGTTTTGGAGAGTGTATATACCTAGATCTTCAGTCCGGCACTTTTACAGGGTCCGGTGCCAGACTTCCAACTCCGGCGTTTTTCTGGACTTGGTCCGGCAGTTTTTCCAAGTCACTTTATGTATGTGAATTCTCAAGGCTTTGCATTCTTTGTGGTCCGCATTTCTTTGAAGGTAAATCCACTACTGACAAATAATTTTGCTTGAAATTGTGCTCGTTTGCCTGTTCCGCTGTTTTCTCATTCCACCGGTTTCAGCAGTGGTTCACACTGGCTCAATCAGATCCGTTTAAGTGATCTTCTAAATGAATTCGATACAGTGCGCTGCACGTGTACCTAAGCTGAAAGAACATAGGCGATAATGTATTCCATTGATTTCCCATTGTTTCAGGATGTCGGGGCGCTGGGAAATAGTTATTATAGCTACCCCAGCTACGCAGGTTTGCAGAGCCTGCCGGACAAGTTGTGGGCTGTGGAAGGTGTGTTGTTCAGAATCTCAATGTTTTGCAGAGACTTGCCAAAAAATACATGGATAGTCCGGGCGGTCCAGGCCGGTCCACTGCGGTCCTTCCATTTGTATAGGCCCTTTGTGGAATCCACCAAACCACACCTCAAATCCACCGTCCCGGCGTAGCGTAAGGAGACCACCTGACGCAGTGGGCAAAGGAAGAATCTATGCATCAAGATGTATGGTTGTGGAATGAGTGCGTTCCAGAAAATCTACTCGTGGCGCACAGGCAGTTTGCTTGTGTATGATCCTTTTCATCATCTCCGTTTTTCAAAATCTTGGATCCGGATGTTTTTTCAGGTTCTCAGCGTTTTTGGGGGAATCCGGCGGAAAATTTTGCCGGATTGAGGTCCGGCACTTTTTTTTAGCCTTATAGGAGGATCCAGGTATAGCTGTATAGCCGTGTTGCGCTTTCTATCCTCGTTGTTTGATTGAGTGGTGGTGTGGAAGTTGAGCGGTTCCTGCATTCCTTGAGGAACGATGAGATCGATGGAATTAGAGGCCCGTGGTCACCGTGTTGCCCTTTATGTCACATCATGATACATCATATAGTGCTGCGCTTGTCAGCTGGACATGACATGGCGAAGCGATCCAACCATATCCAAACAAGGGCCTTTTTGACACCATTTCTTCCCTACGACGAATCCTATGAGCATGGTGCTTTGACGCGCTGCCACGCGTTGGGCATAGCTCGATTGGTCAACCAACTTCTTTGTTGATCGCCAGGGATCACCGGAGATTCGAGATGCATTGTTTTTTTCGAGCATCCATGTGGATGTTACTTTTCATGGGGATACCCCCGTGGCCCTGGCTGGGTAGACTGGTTTATCTCCCTTCCCAACCAGGGGCTCGTTTCTTGAGAGACACACACACCGGTGTGTTTTGTGTGCAAAGGCCTAAAACATGACAGGGAACAACTCCAATGGCAGCTCGAAAGAATGGGACCCTGATCGCTCGGTGGGTGGGGCAGATTGCTCAACCGATCTTGTCCCTATGGATCCACATACCTTCTCAGAAGGTATTTGGGTTCTCCAAACCTACATAAATAGTCTCCAACCACCTTCTCAGAAGGTATGTGGATCCATAGGGTGTGTGGTTTTGGGGTCAAACTTTCTGTTTTCGTGAAGAATGGAACCATGTCGCTCATCCCAAGCACTGACAGGTGCAAGCAAGGAACTGGGATCCGGTGCCACCATGCTTCTCTCGGATGATCATGCTTCACTGTTCCCGGTTGGTCATGCCCCAAGGGCATGGAGGTGGTCTCCATCCACAACAGGGTGAGTTCCTTGGAGTTCAAACCGTGAACATGCTATTCTTCACCTATCAACACGGTTTGTTGGTTCTTATCGTTTGTAAGTCTCCTTGTGACTCCCATCCTTAGAAGGTATCGTTCAACCTTGAAAACCTCCAACCACCTTCTTCGAAACGCTTGTGGCTGGAGCCCTAATGTAGACTCTTGATGAATAGAACCCCCTGCATTTGGAGTGTACAGCCTCTTCATATGGGGGGATTTCTATTGATCACGAGTCCGTATTAGGGACTGAGTCCTGCAAGCCACTGGAAGCCACTGGAATCCTTATGCCTAAGGTCACAGTCATCCATGGTCGCAGCATACAGCTTGGGACATGCACCGGGCGACTGCCTTTGTGCCCGGGCGCTCGGACGGAGTAGTGAAAAGTGAATGCCTGGTTCGATCTGTTTTTTTACATATTGTTTTCAATCTTTACCCGAGCAATGATTCACAGAAGTCCTCCTATTATGAGATTGTTGCTTTCTTGGCCTTTCACTTTGGTAGGAGCTGCGAAACCTATGCCAGAAGGGATTGATGCGGGAACAACCCTTCAAACTTGGGTTTCATGTGGTTTCATCTATATTGCCTGCTTTCGAACGCAGGCTTTGCCTCAGGGTCGTTATGCCGCGATGCACAGCAGTTTGCTATTTGTTGCTTTGCAGTTAAGCACACCTGCTGCAAGGCAGACAGCCTTGTTTTTTTTTGCAACCAACCCGAAGAAAGTCTACCTGGGGTCCATAGCAGCATATCAAAGCTGTGTGCTACCAGTCTTCTTGTACAAGCATGTCATCTCAAAACAGCACCTTCACTCCACAGCCGCAACAACAAATGTCATGTATCGTCAAAGCGATCTACTATATGCACTGACATATATATAGCGCTCGTATTCGTGAATATGTACATATATATCACTCACCATATTCACACACAGCTTGACGAATCGACGGATTTTGGCTTGTCCTGTGGTGCGTCAGTCCGGTCTCAGCTCGACGCCCGGTGCGGGAATTTGGCACAAGGAATCCGTTTTTGGTCGGCCTTGGACTGCGAGACACCGTTGTCCTGCATCAATGACTGAAGGCAGTGACATTTTGTTTGACCAAAAAAAATGTGCTTGAGAAGTTTGAAGGTTCAATTCCTCAGCCAAAAAGGAACACCCAAGCCCCTGATTGCACCAGCGTAATGGTAGGGAAACATGCCTTTAGTGCTATACTAATTAGCATGTCATGCCTTTAGTGGGTTAGGGAGTGTTGTGAACACAGTGCTGGGCGTCGGCGGCAACTGCGGGTCCTCGAGCCGATGGATGCCTCGAATGGACAGAGGTCCAGGCAGGTGACGTGGGATGCAAACGAGAGATCCTGGATCGTTTTTGAAAAACACCCATGACCAGAAAGAAGACTCTTGAAATGCTGGAAATGATTGGATATCTGATATCGATGTCAAGGATCGCAAGAGACAGCAACCCATGAGGTCAATGGCAATTTTCACAACTCAGGGTCGGTTCAGGTGAAAACGGGAACATAACTTTTTGGAAGGGGAAATCTATGATTCCGACATCAAACTAGCATAATGTCAGAATTGAAGCTATGTGTGTTAAATCGCACTGTGTGTACAAAAAACATACCTCAAAATGCAGATCCTAGCTCCACATTTTGGGTGGTGGTTGATATATTTAATGAAAAGGAGAGACTCCTGATTCCTGACTTTGTTTGTTTTCAAGTGCTACATCGCCAGACAGCCAACCATAGACGATCTGGCCAAAAGAACAGTGGGAGAGCACAGTAAACAAAATACAGCAAAATGCGGATGCTAGCTCTTCATGCTGGGTGGTGTTCCCTGCACGGAGAAAAAAACAACATCCAAAGACCCAAAGACCAGAAATATGATATAATTTTGATATATTTCGAGTGAATAAACACAACTGTGTGCTGTGAAGTTCATTACAGGCTGTAGTGTTGTAGAACAACTTGGGAACTTTAAGTCTGGCCCACGGTTGTTCGTGGTCGCACATGTCCCCGGGAAAGGTTATAGTTCCGAAGATTTTGGAACTACAAGTCTGGTCAACAAACGTTTACGGTCATGGCGGACTCTGGGAAAAGTTATACTGTAGTTCCGAAGATTTGGAACTATAAGTCCCGTCAACGGTCGTACGCGGTCGTGGCGGGCTCCGGGAAAAGTTATCGTTCCGAAAATTTAGGAACTATAAGTCTGGTCAACGGTCGTTTGCGGTTGTGGTGGGCTAAGCCTGGTCAACGGTCCTTCGCGGTCACGTGCGGTCCCAAGAAACTTGTTCAGAAGGGTGCTCGGTTGCCGCAGGTGCTTCCAAAAGTTATATTCCCTGAAAAAAGTTATAGTTACGGAAATTCTGGAACTATAAGTTATGTGTCCAACATTTCATTTTTTGACGGGTATGTTCCTGTATTTTTTCCAGGTCTATGGCTCCAAAAAAATACCCGTCAACTTTTCAATTAACGGGTGCAAATGTTTACATGTGAGTCAAAAGACAATCGGAAAAAAAAATAAACATACCCGCCAAAATATGAACATTTCGGTACACACACAATTTATAGTTCCAACATTTCCGGAACTATAACTTTTCCGGGTGACCATGATGACAACCAAGCAAAGTACTGTAATCAAATCGTTTAGCATACTTTGTTCATTGCTTTCTTTTGGCTCATGTCCGGGATTGGACACAACATGCCGGCCAGGCTTAACAGGACAACACAATGTTGATTATCCGAAATTCTAGACTTCTAGACGTTTCCAGATTCAAAATCTAAGTTTAAAAGTCTATTTAGAACAATAAGAAAAACGTTGTAAAACGTGTACATCAACTATGTCAATAACTAACGTATCTAGTTGTTGATTGATGTGTTGGCTTTCTTTGTAAGCTTGATAAACTGAGAGTCCCATGGGTCTCATACAATTCCGTGGAGAGCTGTTTGGAGACAAGATCCTTCTGGACACACTCTTTCAACCATTGTTGAACACAGTGCAACAATTGTGTACTTTGGTTCATGTGGAGTGATGAGCCCTCCTTATGGCCTCTGGGGTTTGGCCATGATTCATCTAAACGACCTCAACCTTGGCAGGAGCCAAAAAAAAGGAGCTTTGGTGGATTGCGCCAAAACATTTGGAATGGGTCCATTGGCAAAACAGTCTTGAAAACACACTTCCGGCAGCTGAAAAAGTTATATTCCCAAAACGGGATGAACTAAAACCTAAAAACCATAGGTTGTGAAAATTGCCAGAGGTCAAGGATGTTTTTTGGACTGGACACGTGGATGGTTGGACTTTGGAGATGTGGTTGACCTTAAAAGTGCTACCCACTTGATTGGCTTTCGATCCCCCAGCTCAAGCACCAAGCATTTGTTTTATGCAGGATGAAGCCGCAGTCTTTAGGGTGACTTGGCAGATCTTAGGTGGGCGGGCGAACGAGGAAATGACTTCAGGTGGTGAAATTTGATTGTTTCTCCGGCAGATCAGCTTTGATTTGACAGGTCAGATCCATGCATGTTGCATCATGTAGCAACAGCCCAACGACCCCTGAGTTGAGTAGCTCCATTTGGTAGCCCCTTCTGTGCAACTCGGCCCTCAGGCCTGAGATTCTCACCTTCTCAGACATGGCCTTGGCTCCAAAAGTATGGTCACAAAATGGATCGCCCAAATTGCGTTCACAGGCTCCCCAACAGAGCTTGGTAAATACATTTAACTTGAGGCTGTCAGACATGAGTTTCGTAGAATTGGTGGTTGATGCATGCGGCATGATGCACCATCCTTCCCCCTTAAATGGGCGCCCTAGTACCAAACAGCAAGGAAATTTTGTGGATGGACATGATTCATACTCATAGATTCATTTGTAATTGTTTCATAATCAAAGCCACATTTGTTGCACAACATGGCCTCACCCCTGTTCCAATGTATGTTCGCCATGTTTTAACCATCTCCACCCGGCACATCACAGTGAGGACCGTTGCGAGGCCAATTTGACAGTGTTGCTGCGGCCCGGCAGCACGCAGAAATGCATCATGAGGCGCGTTGTGCCAAGTGATCAAGGTTTGGTGGATGATCCCACAGTCCCCGCTGGATATGCCTCCTAAACCAGCTAGCCTCATGTTTAAGAACACAAAGGTACATATGGTTCATCATCGGAAATGATATGCCAAGCCAGCTCCTCTAGTGTTGCTACAGAAACATGATTGGGTAAAGGAAGACATTGACTTTGAGTTACTTGTCAAGGCTGGTTTAGAGTCAGGAGTCAGACCCTTTGATAATAATTTTCATTCATGTTCCATTTGGACTCAGCCAAAGTTTGAGCATTGGTTCCTCAAAAACCGATGCAGTCGGATGTGATTCTCATCAGTGTGGGCGAGCCCAACAAGAAGGGGTCGTGGCCTCGGCATTGAAGGTGATGCATTTGCTAAGAGCATTTGGATGCATTTGGTATCAATTGGTCAATCTGTGACAGCAGCAGTCAAAAAGAAAAGAAACAGGTAGCGTCTGGTGATGGTCCGCTCGACTCAGATTTCAATCATGCATTGGACCGCTCAGCCAGCCTTTCCATGTCATTATGAAATCCAGCGGCTTCTGTTCCCCAGTGACCATCATCATGACAATCCAGGGATCTGGTGAACAACTGTTCTGAACCAGTTGAGCATTGCGCTGCAGCCATTTGGGCTTTGCCCAGAGCCTGGTGGCGTCAGCCGACCATGAGGCTCGCATGGGCAGTGACCCGGCCCAGCAGCCTTTGCCACGCCTATCGGTGGTCTCCTACGTCGCTGCATCTTCCCAGGGCCTTTTCAAGCAGCAGATCTTTGAGCCCCAGAAAGCAACAACTGCCAGGGGACACTTTGTCACAGAAAGTTCCAGATGTTACGGCAGCTGCAGCTATAAAGGCTCTTCACCCCATCGACTGCCAGGATCAGAAAGGCTTGGACTTCACCCCTTTGACCACCAAGAACTTTGATGCTTCTGCCAAGACACCTCCCAAGATAGTCCTGGAGGCTGAGGCCAAGCATGATGACCTGGGAAAGGTGCAATTGCGAGCAGATTCCAATTTAGATGTGAAGATCCATGGTGAAGTAAACCGTGATGCACTTGGAGGACACCCTGGGATGGAGGCTCCGGGTGTTCTTCCCTGACCGATGGATTGAGGCGATAAGCACCTCCCAAGAGCAAGTAAGAATGGAAAGTTGGGAATTCGCTCATGCAGGACATTGCGCATCACGATGTGCAAGGCTAAGGCATAAAGGCCAGGAGAATAAACCAGGTTGCAGCTGATCAGCCCAGAAGATAGACAGCTCTGAGGTAGGGTTCTGAAAGGTTTCAATCACGCTCCCGGCCAAAGTTGCGGCTCA